CTCAGGCAATCCATTCACCTCAGCCTCCCAAAGCACGGGATTACAGGCTGAGCCACCGAGCCCAGTAAAACATACTCTTAACATATGAGGTTGACAATTAAGTTCATGAACTCATCCTAGAAAAAGTACTATATACCTCATTGTGAATATCACTATGGTCACCTTCAAAGTACTCCCTCTGGGAAGCTATGCACTGATGCCAGCACCTAGTCCATCCGTCAAAGCAATTTTGAAACTCTTTCTGGAATGACCATCAAAGCTATCATCACAAGAATGTTAGAGTTTGAATTACAGCAATTAACAAACATTAAATTTCTTGTTAAACTTGGCAAGAATGGAAGTGAAATCAGGGACATGTTAGTCCAAGTTTATGGGGATAATGCCATGAGGAAAACAATAGTGTACAAATGGATTAAGTGTTTTTCTGAGGGAAGAGAAAGCATCAATGAAGAAGAGAGGTCAGGACGGCCAGTAACAAGCAGAACTGACACTGCAAAAATTCACTGAATTGTGTGGCAAAATCACTGGCTGACTGTAAGAAGCATAGCAGACCAAATAAACATTGATAGAGAAACAGGAAAATCTTACTTAAAAATCTTGAGTGTGTGCAAAAATGGTCCTGAAGGAGTTCTTATATCAAGACAATGTACCAGCTCATACAGCACTGTCTGAGGGAGAGTTTTTAGCCAGTAAACAAATAGCTGTATTGGAACACAATCTCTACTCACCTGATCTGGCCCTCAAAGACCTTTTCTTTTAACTTGAAGATAAAGGAAACATTGAGAGGAAGACATTTTGATGACATTCAGGACATCAAGGGTAATATGACAACAGTTCTGATGGGCATTCCAGAAAAAGAGTTCCAAAATTTTGATGGGTGGACTAGGTGCTGGCATCAGTGCAGTTTCTCAGGAGGAGTACTTCGAAGGTGACCATAGTGATATTCAGCAATGGGGTATGTAGCACTTTTTCTAGGATGAATTCAAAACTTAATTGTCAGAACCTATATGATGAACGAATCATGTCTTATGTATTTATTCAAATGAGGTGAAAACTTATGTTCACGCCAAAACCTGCATGTGAATGTGTATAGGAGTTTTATCCATAATTTCCAAACTGTAGAGTGAACCAACATTTCTGTCAATAGGCAACTGGATAAACAATTTGTGCTTAATCCATAGGATGAAGTATTGCTCAACGATAAAAAGAAATCTTGGAACAAGCCATAAAAACTATGGAGGAAACTTAAAAATAGACTTCTAAATCAAAGAAGATAATCTGAAAAGGCTATATGCTATATTAGTTAGAATCTGACATGCTGGCAAAGACAAAACTATGAAAGAGTAAAAATATTATTGTCAAGGAGAGGAGGCAAAAGGGAGGGATGGATGAAGAGGTAGAGCATGGAGGATTTTTAGGGCAGTGGAGGTATCCTATACTATGCAGCAATGATGGAGACAGTCACTATACACTTGCTAAAACCCATAAGTTGTATAACAGTGAGCCCTAATGTAAACTGTAGATTTGACGTATCAATATTGGTACAATAGTAACAGATGTGTCACAGTAATACAAGATATTTTTTAAAAAGGACAAACTGTGAAAATAGAGGGGTTATGTGGAGCATTATTTTCTGATCAATTTTTATTTAAACCTAAACTGCTCTAAAAAATAGTCTATTGGAAAAATAAGAAAAAAAGATAAAGCCAGACTTATGACAATTCACTCCTGATGACTCTGATGAATCAAACAGGTGACCTTTCATTCAATTAATTTGAACTTATTTTACTAGGCCATTATGGTGCTTTCTGAGACTGAGACTGGTAAAGCAAGTGAAAGTTCCATAGAATGCCTTGTTCAAAAGTCCATCACCAAATATTCTGAGAAGTGAAATAAGAGCCTTGGTTAGTATCCATAATGTCTGGAATGCTGATGTGAATAAGGGGTGTCTTGGTGGAGCCTTGCATGGTGGACTTGTGTTAACTTGATTTATACTTTGAGTATCTGGGAAGTAAGAGATTCCCAGAGTTCTCTTACCACAAAAGGGCAACTCAGACTATCACCCAAAAGTGTGTAAACATGTAGAGATGGGACTGGTTGTTGCCCAGTACTAAGATGACTGCCTGATGTTTGGTCAGTTGTGCTGACCTTGGATTCAGTCGTCTATCAGGTCCATCCGGACATAGGGATGAGAGCTCCGCCATGTACAAATGTGGTGATGTCATCCATAGTTTATAATCTCCCCACGAATTCCCCACTGTTGTTCACTCAGGAGCAAGGGGTCTGGCAAGAGGGGGAAGTCACAAGGACATCTCCTGTAGGGTGCTGTTTCCAAGACCCAAGGCATAGTGGGCAATTGAGTAGAATCTCATGCTCTGAGCCTGGGAGAGTCTCTACTCTTAGCAAAATCCAATACAACGTGGTAATTGTAGTTTTAACAGCATAGTGTGAAGCTGGGGCAGTTTTTTTGCATCAGAAGCCTATGGTAACTTTACGGCTATTACGGGCAACTCTAGGAAGCACAAAGTAGCAACTAGCTAAAGCCTCCATATAGAAGAGTCTGTGAGGCACTAACAGGAGTGCCTACTGAATGGCAATTTGAACAGAGTATAGAGCCTTTGTGGTAGGGGTGAGTATTCAAAAGGGCCAATCTGCAAGTCACAGCAGAAATGGGCTTAACAGTAAAATTTTTAAAGAAGGACTATGCTGTCTCCAGACCATTAAAAGTAAAAACACAAAAACCTACAAGATCTGAGTGCTGAGAACAATAGCTATTTCTTCATGGTGTCAGGCAGGAAGCAGCCCTCTGCTTACCAAATAATTTCTAGGAATTTAACCTAGGCCTGACTCTGTACAAAGGCAATAGTTGCAGTTAAGGTCTTGTGTTTGAAGGTAAGGTCTTTGGGGTTCCCTGAGGGCAACCAGGTAGCAGTATATCACGTCCCTTCAAAAGTGAAGGCAAACATTGGGTAAGACACAGACTGGTCAGAATAGACTTAGCCAAATGTGTGGCAGCAGAGTATTTACCAATTGTGGATTAGTTGGAGTCAGTTATTTCCATAATGTTGGCTTCTGGGCACAGGGCTCAATGGGTGCAACCACATCATCAAGGTTGCAGTAATTCAGCAATCCACTATGAGGAGCCATTTATTCTTTCTAGGTTTAGCAACAGGCCAAATTGGACTGCTAAATGGATAAGTACTAGGGTCAATAACCTCTTCACCAAATACTGGTTTTGTATAATGAGTTTCAGCCCTTGAAGGCCCTGTCTAATTGACATCAGGCCATATAGACTTCAATGGGGTGGGGTGGTAAAGCCCCTGGGGTTCCATTTTGTTAGGCCAATTTGTAGGTGCCAAAGTGTTCGTTTAATTTAAATTCATGACTCACTGGTTCAGAGCTTCTCTGCTCTAGATATGTCAAGACAATGAGTGCTATGATCATGGGGAATTTAAGCAAGACAATTCTGATGTTTATGGCAAGGCATACTTATTTATCCTCTATTTTATATTAACTCCCCTAAGAGTATAGAGTGTACTTTGCTTACATGAGTGAGATCTTCACATCTAACTTTGAGTCCTAGTAATGATTAATTCCATGAAGGATTGTCAATTAGTGCATTACAATTAAGAAAGAATCCATGCTGTAGAGACCAAAAAGCCATGTAGTGACCTTTTATCTCGTTTGTTGTGCAACTCTTTCACTATATGTTGGATTTCCAATTGGGTGAAAATGTGGACATGTGATTCACTTTTCTCCCCTTCTTTTGTTCTCTTCCTGCCTTTCATCTTTCCCTGTTTTGTTTTTTGGTCATTTGATACACTTCTGGGTAGAGAAGTGGCCTTACTACCTGAATATTTATAATGTTTTTCCTTCAGAGAGCTTCAAATCAGTATCATCAGGGTTATGGGTCTCACCCATGGCAATAGTTGTTTTAAAAGATTAAAAGATCTGAGCTCCAGTCGTGTTTCAAGTATTCCCTTTGTTGTGTCACAGGAGTGCCATTCATGTTGTTGTCCCCTGTAACTGTAAGGATTAGGATCTTTGCAGTTACAGAGCATCCATAAAAGTCTGGCCTTATGGAAATACACAAACTGTATGGACCTAGTTTTGTCCGACCTTGTGCCATGCATGACAACTGGGGTCGTCAGCACCTGTCCTTTACAGTAAGACAGTTTTAAATTAAATTAGATTTTTATATTAAAAATTGGGCCACTTGGCAAAATAAAACTACCACCTCCTCTAAAAAGAGACATAATATTGTTTTGCTGTGAAAGCCTGGCTTCCCGAGGAAAGCCTTGGGTGATGGGGTAGAACCCATCCATTGAGTGCAGATTCAAAGGTTAATGCCATGCTAGGAAGCTGGTGGAGCCAGAAGGGCTCCTGCCATGTAGGGTCTCAACTTGTGAGACAGTAGCTAACAAAACAAATTTCAATTTGGCAGAAAGAAAGTCAATTATTGCACAACCTTCATTCATATGGTTGGATAAGATGAAAAACTGAAATATTATTAAGAAACCATATAAAGAAGCAACTAATATTGCAAAATATGGGCTCTAGGAAATAAAATTAAGCAAACTTGTCAGAGGGCTCGCCACCCAAATACAGTATTCAATGTTGAGGATCTTTGGTACTCAACAGAGTTGGAAGTCCCAAAAAGACTCCCTGAGGATGTATGGTCAGACATGAGGTATCCTAAAAAGGTTAAACATTTTGTTACTAGAGCCCCAAAAGAAGAAAACCCTGCAAAGTTTCTCACAAATAGACAGGGATCATGAGAAAAGCAAAGAACTAGTTCATAGAATCTTAAGGAAAAGTGAATTCTTTTCAGATGTAACTTTTAAAGAGGAATCCCTGGCACGTGGACCTCCATCCAGAGCATACAAGAAATTATGATAATCCCAGGGTGGGGGGATATATGCAGTAAGACCTATAATAACTAAAAAAAGAGTTCTAACTTATAACCATCAGGACATCAATGAGGACAGAGAATACCCAAGAGCAGAATTACAAAGATTAAAAACAGATTTTGCCAAAGACAGACTACAGATACATACTGGCTCCTCCAGCTGTGGGGTAGTGGAGCAAATACCATATGAAAAAATGTATCAGATCACTACTCCAGCAGAAAACCCATCACTAAGTCATAAACAATTAGAACTAACAAAAAATCACCCAGGATGTGTCCTTTTCTTTTGGGCTGGATCACATTAGCCTGGAGATCCATCCACTCATACTTAGACTCAATTCAGAAATGCAATCAAATGAAATGATTTAACATGGGCACAAAGAAATACAAATAAATCAGTATTTAAGAAATGGTATATGATAGATACAACTGATATGGAACTCCATTTGAAAGTTCACCTATAAATGAAATTAAGAGAGCACTTCTATTAGGAGCACAGCCTCACCTGAAGGTCTCCTACGTGAATGCTCTTTCAGCACACAGAACACCATGCAAGATATACTAGACACACATAAACTTTCTGCAGAATTACCAGAAACTCATACAGTAATAGCTTAATACAAATGCCAGGAGATAAACTCAGGAAGGAACAAAAATTCTTTACATTCAATATACAAGTCCCAAAGTTCTTTAAAAATAGACCTAGTACACGTTGGCAAAATAAACTGAGGTAGACAAATTGGCAACCCAGACAAAATAATTGGAAATCTAAGCAAAATAAGTAGAAACCAAGAATACCAGGACCAAACTGTAGTAGGGCCATCCAAGACCACCAGCCAGATATCAAAATAATGTGCAAACACCCTCTCAAGGTCCAAGACCCAAGCTATAATTTTAAAAACAGCAACAACAACAGAAAAATTTTGCAATAAAAATTTTCTCAAAAAACTAGAATCTTCCTGGGTGTGGGGTACAACACTCAAACTTGGGGCTAACAGATCATATATACAACTGGCTCTACACACTG